GGTATTTTTCTTTGCTTACAAGCTTCAATATTAACATGTTGTTCTTCTTCATAATGCTGAGTAATTACATAATAAGACTTTCCCAGACGGATTCCTTCTGAGTAATAAGGGAAGATATGGGTTTTAACAGTTGCTAATTAGCAAATATCATTTACTTTGCCTTTGACATTACTTCTATTACTCTATTTTGTGGGTGCTTTTCTGCAATATTTAAATACAGTGAATGTTTGTTTAGAAAAGTGAGCTATTAACATTGCTGTCTTGACTTATGCTTAGACACAGAGGAATTATTGAAATATTTCTTTAGTAAAAGTTGGCTTTGACTGGTCTAAATATTTCTCTGTTGTTGACAAACCATTACCTAGAGTACTTTAGGCTGAAGACCTTGGGATGATTAAAAGTAAATTGATTGTACTTTGGAGAGGCATAAATAATAGGCTGTTAATAGTATTCAAATGTAGTTAATGTATTAAAAAAGGATAGTGATAAATATGCGTACGAATAATTTTAATATGAACAAATATACCTTTTTTCCTTTGAATATTTTGTCTGTCTTTGAAGACAAGTGTGGAGTGTTCATTTAGAAAAAGTATTTGTATAAATTTGTGTTTCCTGTAAACACAAATTTAGTATGCAAATAAGTAAAATTTCTTCATAAATCACCTTTCACAGACACAAAGCCACAAAATCCTGTACAAATATATCTTGATAAGATAAAACATAGACGGAACAATAAAATCAGGATGAGATTATAAAATACAATACATAGTAGCACAGTGAATCATAATGAGGTAAAACAGGAAACACAGTAAAATCATGACAAAAAAAACAACCTGGCGGAACGTAAGTTTTCAACTGGATTAAAAATCAACGGCCAGCACATGGAAATTTAAGCGGCTGGCTGTTGCACAGATTTGGAGCCCCTTAGTTTTCAGGCTACTATTGGGAACACTCAGAAGATTCTGACCTTATGGTTGAAAGCTAAGAGAATTAGGTGTCTAATGGAAAAGCATCGGGCTCCATCTCTCGATCAACACTGGCCTTTAGAAAAACAACTAATGCTGACTTGTGCCTTACACTTGTTGACTCATTAGTTAGTACTGTGATTTGAACAGCACCCCTTAACATTTCTTTGGGTCCCCTATTGATCTTTAAAGCGATCAATTCTTTCAACATAAAGGCTCCTGCACTAAGATTCAAAGCTGATCTATTTTCTGTCTCAAAGTGCAACCTTGACCGGTTAAGGAAAGAGCTTTCTTTGTTCTGCTCATGACTCTTTTAGTTGGATGGAGTAGTGTCATTAAAATAATCAATGCTTCAATATAATAGATTGTGAAAGAATTAATTATTCAAAGACACTTACTTGCTTCAAAACTGATATAAACTGATCTATTCATATTTGGCCAAACTATGGCGTTATAAAGACTCAGCCTCTCCACTCATAGCAGCTTCACCAGACCATAATGCCTAAGCTGTAAAGTCTGTGAACATGTCAAGTAAAGCAAGAAAAAAACAAGAAAACCTCTTTATAGACAATAGAAAAACAGAAGCATTGTTTGGATTGACTTCTCTTAAAAGACAGACGGACAAGATGAAATCAAATGCTGAGCTGTGCTGCATGGTAAACTAATTCTACAACACCGTTGTTTCTGAAGTAAAAAATTCAGTATAAAAAGGTTAGTGAAACAGTAACAGTGAAGTAGTAAACATTCCAGACAACATGAGCTGTTATTAGCTTGATGTACACAGACAGCCCAATGACGGGGTTCTGTGTGAGCTCAGCTTTTCAGATTACTTTCCCAGGAGTGCAGTTCTGAACCATGCTGTGCTCCATTATGCTGTGGTGTAATTCAGCACAGGAACATGTTAATCAGCTGACAGTTCAGCCAGATGGTAAACAGAGAAAAGAAAAAAAAAACAACCAGTCCGTCCCCCAGCACTGTTCCTCTTAGTCATAAAGCATTGCCGACTAAAAACAGAGGTTATGGTGGAGCCAGACTGAAGCACACAACCCCGACACTGCAATTAATCACTAAAACAATTATTATGCAAAATGACCAGAAAGACAGAAATTGTCCTGGGCTGCTGTCCATTTTCATAGACGAGTTCCTTAGTTAAACTGGAGCAAAGATATTTGTTATATACCCTATCCCTGTGGGCTTTTGGAATTCAATCATTCTTTATTTGTTCTGCAGTGATACATTTTATTATAAATATTAGCTAATTTACAGGTAAAATGAACAAACAGTAGTACATTAGACATAAATTAAATAATTGTATGTCATATTAAAAGGTACAGATTTCCATATATGATAAAACTGTTATGCTGCTAGTATTGTCTGATTTACAAATTATATATTTTTCCAAAGGAGGACAAAAACTGACAGGAGTAAAATTAAATAAATATAACATTTTCCCGAGTAATAAACTAATACATTTTACCGATTACATTTAAGAAGGATGAACTGCGTATATAACTTTGTCATTTAAAAAATAAATATTTTGTTTGCTACGTTTTGTCATTAACCTCTGTACTTGCTCTCCATACATTTCAATCATTCAGTTGATTAATTCAGTTCAATTCAGTTTATATATACAGCACCAATTCAAAACACATATCCTCTCAAGGCACTTTACAGACGATTCACTCAGATTGATTAAAAGTTTCTGTCAAGGAAACTAGTTTATTGCATCAAGTCAATATGTTGCAAGACATGGTCCTCCTGGATGAGCTTGTGGCAAGGATTTCAGATTGTATTTTGTCCTTGATTCGACAGTAATACCTCATACCAAGCATGCATGTAGTGACACTGGAGAGAAAAACTCCCCTTTAACAGAAAGAAACCTCCAGCAAAACCAGGCTTAGAGTGATCAGCCTTTTGCTAAGGCTGACTGGGATTACAGAAGCAAAGATAGAAAAAATAATATTTATAAAAGCTAACTGTTAATTAGCTTCAAAGGTGGCCCAGTCTAGGAAACACGGTCAGGCAGATGAGCTCCAAGCCAGTTCACATGTCAAAGGATGAGAGAAAGCACAAAAAGTTAGCCAAAGGAAAAGGGAACTACTACAGAAGTAAAAAATATGCTAAAATTCAACTCCTTTTAAAGATGGTGTTGATGGCAGCAGGCCAATTGATACTTTAATCTAGGATGGAGACACAGCCAAACAGGAACAGAATAGAGGAAGCTACTATGAAAATAAAAACAGAACATAAAGTTATGGTTTCAAGTAAAAAATACTGCAGAATAGGAGAATAGAGATTGAATAAAACAGAATGCGGAAAAGTGGACCCTATGTCATGAAGCAATTTAAACATATAGCAGCATAAATATAGAAAATAGCTCAGGATAACCTAACTATTTTGGATGAGGTATGAGAAAGATATGAGCCAAGGAGAAACATCTGTGTGGACTGAGTTCTCTTGGGAGAAAATGTATTATTTATTGTGTGATTTATTGTAGTGTAAGGCTACGTTCTATACATAGCTGCGAAGAAATAACTAGGGTAAAGAAATACAAAGGAAGAATAAAACAGACAAAAATATTATAACATGCCGTTTGTCAATATTATAACATGCACATAAATAAATACTTAAAAATATAAGTAATTAAAAAATAAATTTGAAGATTATAAAGGACAAAAAAATAAATAAGGTAAACTTTACAAAGGCAAATAAATAAAGAAGCTAATTAAAAGAGTTATATACATATATGTCTCACTGTATAATTTAATTTCTACCTACATTTATTTGTTTATTATATTTTTGGTGGCAATTAATTGTATGCTTATTTATTTATTGAGCATTTATTTATTTCTGTATTTATTTTTAAATATGGCAGAGTTGGTCCTCCATAACATTCAGACCGCACACGATAGATGCAGCAAAAAAGCTTCTGCTGCGTTATTTTTGAGGTCTGGCACGCTTCACGTGCATCTTTAACGCTCCTGAAATGTGTCCAGTAAAGTGTGCTGATCCTGTGTTCAGTGGCAGAAAGCAGCTTTTCTATATTAGCTGTTCTAAGTGGGTAAAAATTGGTTTTTATATGTTTTTAAGGGAGAAAGTCCACCGGAAAACTTAATCTGTGCAGTCAGTTTATCAACATTTCAATCCTGCCTTCAAATATTATTTTGCTGTCAGACCACCCCGTACACCGGCGGTGCTCTGTCACTGGAAATCCCCTTCAACAGCAGCCTCTGGCTTCTTGGGGGTTTTCCGCTACTGTTCGTGGAGGCTGGAAGGTGTTTTTAATGTACGTAATCCAAACTACACGCATCAGAATGATAAATGCAAACATATTTTGCCGTCAGGTTTCGAAATTTTAAGTGAATTTAAGCATTGATAAACTGTTTCAGGGGATTGATCATAGCGATCTGCATCAGCAGTGCTGTGTCTGTCTCCCTGCCAGCTCCCAGATCAGCTTCTCTGATTGGTTGAGGTGGTGAGTCAAGCAGCAAAAGTTAAATTTTTCCAACTCCAGCAGCTGCTGCTTGTGCAGCTCAGAAGGTCATGAGGTGTTGCTAAAGCTTCTCAGATGCTTCAAGATGTGCTGCTTCTGCTGCTCAAAACACGCTGCAGGACCTTTTGATGCGCCTTGATGCACATCCACCAACTGCTTCTGCTGTTTCCCCAGAAGTTGGTCTAAACGTAGCATAGCCTTCGATCCTCCAGAAACTTTCTTGTCCTTCTTGGTTTTGCTCTAATGAAGAAAACTGAAGTTATTTTTGCCGTATTGTACTTAATTTTTTTATTCTTAACCACAATTAAGCCTGTACAAATTCTCGTTCATCTAGATCATTGTGGCCAGTAAACAGACTTTAATCAAAGACAATCGAACTTTGGCTCCTTGTTAGTTGTTGTAAAGTTTTAAAAAAAACTGACAGAAGTGCTGTTGCCTATGGTGTAAGCCTGTTTTGTAGTTGTTGATCACATTAGTTACTTTTAAGTGCAGAGACATGTTATAATGCTTCAGATGTCTGATTTATTGCATCGTTTCTGCAGGAAGAAGGTTCAGCTCATCTCATGCAAGCATCAGGGACACAGCCTTTTAAGATGCAACAGGGAAAAGGTAAGTTAGTCTCAATTTTGTTAAAATAGCAGCACATATATGCATATTGTGTTACAAAACAAAAAAGTCTAAATAGTCCAAGTTAATATGTATCTGGCATAACCTATAAATATTGTACTGATTTGTTACCAGTATATAGAATATAGTATAATTACTGTAGCTGTTCGCAAAATCTTTCTTAAGAAAAAAAGGTTTTTGAAAAATTTATTTGTATTAGTAGTTTTTAAATATGAAACAAAACTAAGCGTTATATCCTGCTCATGATGATAACACAGAGAGTAACATTAAAAGTCCTCACCTTTATTTAGAAGCTCAAGAATCATATACTGACAGAAAGGTTTATAAAAGTTCTACAGTCTGCCACTATTGTTGTTTGAATTTTTCATGTGGTTTTCATTATTTTCCACTCTCCAATGGTGGAATGAGTATGGTTCTGTGCAGGATTTACACAGCTATTATGTGACTCCTATTGCAACATAGAAAGCACACACTCACCTATTCCAAAATAGACATTGAACAGTGCAAATGATTTGCAGCAATGAGGATTTGTGACACAACACTTTTCAAGGGTCAGATGTGTCAGATGTTCTTTAGGTTAAGACAGATAGGTCTTGCTGATTACCTTTATCAATCAGTTCAAAGTGTAAAGGATTCGCTGATTCTCATGCAGCAGTAGCTTTTTTTTCAATCTTAGTTTGTATGGTGTAGGAGTAATGATTCTGTGTGCAGCAAACAACAATTCTTACATATTTGGAGAATTAGAAAGCTAAGCTATTGATGGCTCGGAACAAGCTCGGAACAATCTGTCATTTCAAACCCTTTTTACTTTTTACCCGACTGCAATGTGAATTAAAATTTTTGTATTTTGTTGGTTTTGATGTAGATATTCCAAATCCAAATATAATTTTTCACTCTTAAACAACAAGGCTTGTCAAATGTATTTATGGCTAATTGTTGCCTTTTAAACAAATTTAGACCTGCAATGAATTATCCATGCATCTACACTTATTCACTTTATTCACTCTGCAATTATAAATTTACTGTAAATATATGTCTCTATCAAGCAACTTCTATTATTTTTATTTGTTTTCTTTCCTTATCTCAACTGTAAAAGCTTATACTGCGACTTGTTTTCTGTGGCTGTATTGGATAATTAATGCCCCGAAGGACTTTTTTTTTTTCCTCATGCTTTTGCTATGGTTGTTTTTTGTCTGTCTCATTTAGAATAACATCATACACTATGGAGACATGTGTGGACTAAGGAGGATGTGAAGATGCCCCAGACTGCTGCTAAAAGTAGGATTTTTTTTTCATTAAAGCAGACTTTTTTTTAATTTGTAATTCATCAAATTTAGGTGTCTTTATATTAATCTTTATACACTTTAAACTGGTTTAGCAGTGTCCTGTTTTCGGTTGCCTGGATGACAGAATATCTTTGCATTTTGTTATCTTTGCTTAAGTTTACATAACAAAATTCTAACAATCATTCATGAAAATTAATATTATACATGGCCTTTTAAAAATGTTGCAAGTTAGTCCATGTCCAACAATATGGAGGAGTAGTGTTTGGATCTTTTTGCCAAAATTGTAGCCAATGGATCATGTGATGTTTTAAGTATTTATGTGCAGATAGTGTAAGTCAATCCATTATAGATTTAGTACTAAATCAATTCAGTTTATATGGTGCCAATTCACAACACATGTCATCTCAAAGCTGCTTACGGAGACAATTCAGTCACATCATAGTCAAATTGGTAAAAGTTTTCTTTCTAAAAAAGGAAATTTGCTTTTTAGCACAACTTAAGTACTTCCTGTTCCATGCTGCAAAGCTAAGATACCGGATGTTCTTCAACGTTGTTTTTCTAGAAAGTAGACAGTTCCCTTATCAGTTTCCTGAGGAAGATGAGCCTCTGAGCATTTCTTACCAGGTGCCTCCTGCACAAAAGAGCGTGCAGCTTTAACACTAAAAGTTGAGAGAGTTCTCAAACCTTGCTGTAGAAAAAAAATAAAACTGGATGTATAAATCCGTCGGTAGATTTGGTAGGTTACCGCACGCCTGTCATCCCAATTTGTGTGAAATGAGACCCATCTGGAGGAACTACTGAGTTCCTTCCTGCCTGGCGGGGTGAGAGGCCAAAAGCATCTTAAAATTATCATGGCAATCAACACACCTCAGGATAATCTATTACAGCAGACCTGTAACTTACTGAATGACATCAGTGGCTCCATAGAGAAAGCTAAAAATAAGTCTGCCAACTACTTTGTCCTGCTCTACTTTGTTCTGCTCCCCGGTGCACAAAGTAATGTGCATTTATAGGACCTAAATAGAAGAGAAGGATAACAACAGATTGGAGCTGTTTCCATCATTTTATTCAGGTGGTTTAGCATTCTATAAATGTATACTATGTGATTCCGTTTCATTGTTATAGTTTAAATGTTAAAAGCTCAAAGTTACAAAAAAAACATCATATCCGATGTTCCTTCAGTTTAAATTACACAAATAGAGTCATATTGCATTTTATTGAGTTGGTTTCAAGGATTTTTAGGTAAATATTGTAGATTTTAAAAGTTTGCCTGGATGTCATTAAAGGCATGAAAGAGGTTTCTGTGGTGGAAGATATGTCTGACGGCCAGTGTTGGGACTAACGCGTTACTGTAACGCCGGTATTTTTTTCACTAACTAGTATGCTAACGCGTTAGTTT